ATAAAGGAATGAAAGTCGAGCTTGAACCCTTTCCTGATCACAGAGATCAATCAACTCAACCAAACCGCTGTAGGAGAGTCACAAGCGCTTTCCTTTCGCCATCAATACGGAGAGAGTTAGTTAGACTCGCTTGTCCATTTGCAAGGAGACCCATAAAAATGTTATTTTGCCAACAGAGAAAAACAGACACTGTGTCCTCTTGCAAAACAGTTAAAAGTCACAAACATCCTCTTTTAGTGAATAATAAACATTGTCTATCTTGACAGCTGCACAAAATGTATTTTTTTATCCAATAATGAACAGCACATGATGTCCTCTCTTGCTGACAGTGAGATGTCACACACTTGTCTTTCAGGATAGCCCTGTGTCTATCTGAGGGAATAGTCTAGTTTCATATTGAGGTTCAGAGAGAGAGAGAGTAGGGCCCGGGATTCAATCCGTATAACGCTGTCGACGATGCAGCTCGTTAAGGCCATGTTACCGTGGAGATCCCATTCACGGTAAACGCTGCATATGTCCGCTCAATCAGAAAATTGCCTTTAAAAATAACAATGATTATAACCCGCGATCAGATTGAATCCTTAAAGCTCTGAGAGGAGTGGAGTCCCTCCGTAATAAACTGACTCCTCTGTCTCTGGGGCGACACACAACTCAACTCCCAGTAAGTTTGATATGATTAACTACAAATCAGACAGTTGGAGAAGCATGTGTTGTTGAACACTGAATAACCTGGATGATATGGAACAATATTGTTATCCCTTGGAAATTAAAATTGCCAAAATAATGTATTATTGATATATTTTTAAGTGCTGGGTTATTGTGTTGACAGCCCTTTGGATTAAACCTCAAAGCTGATGTCCTCTGACCCGTTTATACTGTAACCACCACTCCAACATTGGCCGGGATTCAATCCCACCGCGCTTTGTGCACCTTTTAACCCCCTAGAGTCGATGTCCGTGCCCCCGCGGAAATCCAGTTAGCGTAGTAAATAAAAATAAAATAAACAAATCTGTCTGTTTAAGCTAGAGATACGTTTTTGCATGGGCTGCGTCTCAATCCACCGCATCCGCCAATGGCAGCCTTCCGCATCTGCAGTGGAAGGTGGCCGAGCTGCAGGGTGTTTGTCAGACCATGAGACATCCCAAAAAATTGGTCTTCTCAAGAAAACGTCTGTAGTGTCCAAACGGTTTGGCCTACAAAAACTATAGTGAACAAAAATATAAACGCAACAATTACAACTATTTTACTGAGTTACATTTCATATAACGAAATCAGTCAATTTAAATAAATGAATTATGCCCTAATCTATGGATTTCACATGAATGGGCAGGGGCACAGCCATGGGTGGGCCTGGCTCCCCAGTGGGTGGGCCTATGCCCTCCCAGGCCCACCCATGGCTGTGCCCCTCCCCACAAAAGGGCTTTATTACAGACTGAAATACTCAGTTTCATCAGCTGTCTCCGGTTGGCTGGTCTCAGATGATGTAAACAAATTTGTGCACAAAATTTTGAGAGAAATAAGCTTTTTGTGCGTATGACATTTCTGGTGTCTTTTATTTCAGCTCATGAAACATGGGACCAACACTTTACATGTTGCGTTTATATTTTTGTTCAGTATAATATGACCACTCTATGGCAAGGTGAGACTTTCACGAACACACAAGCCTGTCAAGACTCGTCTGAAGGTAGCCTGGTACCAGTTAAAAAAATAAATGGAAGTAAATATGGAGGTGGTTTAGTGCCCCAAAAAATTTTTTATTATTAATTTTCCTGATCTTTCTTTATATCTCTGAGATATAAGACAGACACTTTAAAACAAACTTCCTTTTGATAAAAAATGTTGACCGTTTCCCCCCCATGTATTAATCTGTTATTAAATGCATTTCTATGGGCTAATAGCAGTAAAGCCAAATTCAATGTTTCATCAAATAATTATGTGTATACACTACCGGTCAAAAGTTTTAGAACATCTACTCATTCAAGGGTTTTTCTTTTATTTGTACTATTTTCTACATTGTAGAATAATAGTGAAGACATCCAAACTATGAAATAACACATATGGAATCATGTAATAACCAAAAAAAGTGTTAAACAAATCAAAATATATGTTATATTTGAGATTCTTCAAATAGCCACCCTTTGCCTTGATGACAGCTTTGCACACTCTTGGCATTCTCTCAACCATTTTCATGAGGTTGTCACCTGGAATGCATTTCAATTAACAGGTGTGCCTTCTTAAAAGTTAATTTGTGGATATTCTTTCCTTCTTAATGCGTTTGAGCCAATCAGTTGTGTTGTGACAAGGAAGGGGGGGTATACAGAAGATAGCTCTATTTGGTAAAAGACCAAGTCCATATTATGGCAAGAACAGCTCAAATAAGCAAAGAGAAATGACAGTCCATCATTACTTTAAGGCATGAAGGTCAGTCAATACGGAACATTTCAAGAACTTTGAAAGTTTCTTCAAGTGCTATGATGAAACTAGCTCTCATGAGGACCGCTACAGGAATGGAAGACCCAGAGTTACCTCTGCTGCAGAGGATAAGTTCATTAGAGTTACCAGCCTCAGAAATTGCAGCCCAAATAAATGCTTTACAGAGTTCAAGTAACAGACACATCTCAACATCAACTGTTCAGAGGAGACTCCATGAATCAGGCCTTCATGGTCGAACTGATGCAAATAAACCACTACTAAAGGACACCAATAAGAAGAAGAGACTTGCTTGGGCCAAGAAACACAAGCAATGGACATTAGACCGGTGGAAATGTGTCCTTTGGTCTGGAGTCCAAATTTGAGATTTTTGGTTCCAACCGCCATGTCTTTGTGAGACGCGGTGTGGGTGAACGGATGATCTCCGCATGTGTATTTCCCACAGTAAAGCATGGAGGAGGTGGTGTTATGGTGTGGGGGTACTTTGCTGGTGACACGGTCTGTGATTTATTTAGAATTCAAGGCACACTTAACCAGCATGGCTACCACAGCATTCTGCAGCGATACGCCATCCCATCTGGTTTGGGCTTAGTGGGACTATCATTTGTTTTTCAACAGGATAATGACCCAACACACCTCCAGGCTGTGTAAGAGCTATTTGACCAAGAAGGAGAGTGATGGAGTGCTGCATCAGATGACCTGGCCTCCACAATCCCGCGACCTCAACCCAATTGAGATGGTTTGGGATGAGTCGGACGGCAGAGTGAAGGAAAAGCAGCCAACAAGTGCTCAGCATATGTGGGAACTCCTTCAAGACTGTTGGAAAAGCATTCCAGGTGACGCTGGTTGAGAGAATGCCAAGAGTGTGCAAAGCTGTCATCAAGGCAAAGGGTGGCTTTTTGAAAAATCTCAAATATAAAATATATTTAGATTTTTTTTTAACACTTTTTTGGTTAAGACATGATTCCATATGTGTTATTTCATAGTTTTGATGTATTCACTATTATTCTACAATGTAGAAAATATTACAAATAAAAGAAAAACCCTTGAATGACTAGGTGTTCTAAAACTTTTGACCGGTACTGTATATCTTTTTCTATACCTAAAGGGGTACTAAAATTCAAAATCATTGGTATGACCATCTTAAAACAATTCCATAGGTTAGCTTAGTAGACCCGGCTTAGACAATGTTCACGATGACACGGTAAACAGTGCATATGACGTCTCAATCGTAAATTATCTTTAAGTCCAGCACGTTAAACGCTATGAAAGTGACGCGCCATTTTCCAGGAAGTAGCCTTGACGTTTTTTTGAACTTTTGTACGCTTTTTGAATGATCTTCAACGGGCAAAAACATAGCGCAATGATCTTCATCACCAAAAAAACTTCATAAAAAAGGCATCTGGCTGAAGTAAATTCATCCACAAATATATAATTGTATATCTTAAAACGACCGCGTTTTCACGAATTTGATGATATATTCGTCAAGCCCGTTCGAAAGATTAGGGGGACTGAACCTGGAAGTATGACGTAACGCCGCGTCACTTTCATAGCGTATAACGCGGATCTAAAGCTTATTGGATTGAATCCCGGAACATCATCACATTCATACTAATAGTAACCGGCTCTGTTTGTCCTCACGGCGGCTCTATCTACAATATATTATGTCAGTGTTCGGCCAACACATGCCCTCTTGGTGACGCAACGCTTGGTTGTTTATGATACTCCGTGGCTGAGGGCGGAAAAGGGTCATTTCCCCCCCAATCTGCTGCAGTGTATTAGCGCTCTTTTGGTGGTTAAACATCTGGAACTGACACAACTGTGTAACATGGATGATGATAGCAGGATGGTCAGGAAAGGGTTAAAGTTCACTCACATTACAATTGCTGATGGTAAAGCAATCTGTAATGTATTTTCCTTTCTGTTCTATGATAATATAGTTTATAATCATATTTTTTTTTAGTGTCGTTTCTGCCGTTCACACTGAAGATCAAAATGTTCTCTTTTGGGGTGTAACACAGAACAGACCTAGAGGAGACCCAACATTACAGAGTCCAGGTCCAGTATCACGTGATGTCAAAGGTTTCCTCTCACGTTCTCCCACTGGTCAGGAAGTCTTCCCATGATGCTCTGAGGTGTGGGCGGGGACTGCCAGTCTCCTCTCTGCTTGCCACTATCCGACGGCGACAGATGGCTAACACTGGACTCATGGTCCCACACAACGGAGCAAACGGGCATGTTCCAAAACAAAACAACAAAGAGTACTGTAGTAGTTGGTACTGAACCTAAAGAGAGTCAAAACTAAAATGTTAAGTACAAATCCGTGATGGAGCTGCTTTCTTCATTCACAGCTCAGTAGGTTTATTCCCAGGACTGACAGTATATATCAGCCATGTTGTATTCTGTCTCTTATTGGTCCCACTTCAGCTGGGAGCTTTTGTTTATGTGTTTGTTTACTTGAGTTGGTTCTGAGTGTTGGTTTGAGTTTGATAGGGGGTGTTGAGCATGTGGCTCTTCCTGTTGTTGTTGTTGTCCTCTGCTGGCTGGCTGCTATGCTGGTGGTCGGGGTACTATTGCTCGGTGAGGTGCTCTCTGGTCTCTCCGTGACAGTGTTTGGAGGCTGGCTGGTTGGGCGAGGAGGCCTGGGAAGGGTGCGTACCAGATGGCAGGGTATGGGTGATTGGTACCCCCCCCCCTGGCACCATCCCCCCTGGAGCCATGCCCATCACGCCCGGCGGGTATCTGGGGGGAGAGGGGGAGGTTAGAGGTCAGGGTCAAAGGTCATCTGTAGACAGACAGCCAATAGCAAAGCAGCCCAGAGCTGAACATTCATTTAGTGTTGTGTGACTGAGTGACGAGGACAGGCAGCAGAGTAGTAGAAGTCCTTCCTTCACCCAGAGACACACTTTAAATGGTTCTCTCTCTCTACCACATCACACAGTGATAACACACACATCTACCACTGTCAATCTGGAGATGAACAAGCAAGAAGCAGACTGTCCATGTGAATGAAAGACTTCCTGTAGGTGACGTCATGCTTCCTGAACCACACACCTCCTCCTACTATTGTCTACATCTAGATCTACTGAGTGGTTGGTCTATCTAATGGAAGAGGGGGTTTGGGAACACTACTTAGTGGTTGGTCTGTCCAATGGAAGAGGGGGTTTGGGAACAGTACTTAGTGGTTGGTCTGTCCAATGGAAGAGGGGGTTTGGGAACACTACTTAGTGGTTGGTCTGTCCAATGGAAGATGGGGGTTTGGGAACACTACTGAGTGGTTGGTCTGTCCAATGGAAGAGGGGGTTTGGGAACACTACTTAGTGGTTGGTCTGTCCAATGGAAGAGGGGGTTTGGGAACACTACTTAGTGGTTGGTCTATCTAATGGAAGATGGGGGTTTGGGAACAGTACTTAGTGGTTGGTCTGTCCAATGGAAGAGGGGGTTTGGGAACACTACTTAGTGGTTGGTCTATCTAATGGAAGATGGGGGTTTGGGAACACTACTTAGTGGTTGGTCTGTCTAATGGAAGAGGGGGTTTGGGAACACTACTTAGCGGTTGGTCTATCTAATGGAAGATGGGGGTTTGGGAACACTACTTAGTGGTTGGTCTGTCTAATGGAAGAGGGGGTTTGGGAACACTACTTAGCGGTTGGTCTATCTAATGGAAGATGGGGGTTTGGGAACACTACTTAGTGGTTGGTCTGTCTAATGGAAGATGGGGTTTGGGAACACTACTTAGTGGTTGGTCTATCTAATGGAAGAGGGGGTTTGGGAACACTACTTAGCGGTTGGTCTATCTAATGGAAGATGGGGGTTTGGGAACACTACTTAGTGGTTGGTCTGTCCAATGGAAGAGGGGGTTTGGGAACACTACTTAGCGGTTGGTCTATCTAATGGAAGATGGGGGTTTGGGAACACTACTTAGTGGTTGGTCTGTCCAATGGAAGAGGGGGTTTGGGAACACTACTTAGTGGTTGGTCTGTCCAATGGAAGAGGGGGTTTGGGAACACTACTTAGCGGTTGGTTGGTCTATCTAATGGAAGAGGGGGTTTGGGAACACTACTTAGTGGTTGGTCTATCTAATGGAAGAGGGGGTTTGGGAACACTACTTAGCGGTTGGTCTATCTAATGGAAGATGGGGGTTTGGGAACACTACTTAGTGGTTGGTCTGTCCAATGGAAGAGGGGGTTTGGGAACACTACTTAGCGGTTGGTCTATCTAATGGAAGATGGGGGTTTGGGAACACTACTTAGTGGTTGGTCTGTCCAATGGAAGAGGGGGTTTGGGAACACTACTTAGTGGTTGGTCTGTCCAATGGAAGAGGGGGTTTGGGAACACTACTTAGTGGTTGGTCTGTCCAATGGAAGAGGGGGTTTGGGAACACTACTTAGTGGTTGGTCTGTCCAATGGAAGAGGGGGTTTGGGAACACTACTTAGTGGTTGGTCTATCTAATGGAAGAGGGGGTTTGGGAACACTACTTAGAGGTTGGTCTGTCCAATGGAAGATGGGGGTTTGGGAACACTACTTAGTGGTTGGTCTATCCAATGGAAGAGGGGGTTTGGGAACACTACTTAGTGGTTGGTCTATCTAATGGAAGAGGGGGTTTGGGAACACTACTTAGTGGTTGGTCTATCTAATGGAAGATGGGGGTTTGGGAACACTACTTAGTGGTTGGTCTGTCCAATGGAAGAGGGGGTTTGGGAACACTACTTAGTGGTTGGTCTGTCTAATGGAAGAGGGGGTTTGGGAACACTACTTAGTGGTTGGTCTATCTAATGGAAGAGGGGGTTTGGGAACACTACTTAGTGGTTGGTCTATCTAATGGAAGATGGGGGTTTGGGAACACTACTTAGTGGTTGGTCTGTCCAATGGAAGAGGGGGTTTGGGAACACTACTTAGTGGTTGGTCTATCTAATGGAAGAGGGGGTTTGGGAACACTACTTAGCGGTTGGTTGGTCTATCTAATGGAAGAGGGGGTTTGGGAACACTACTTAGTGGTTGGTCTATCTAATGGAAGAGGGGGTTTGGGAACACTACTTAGTGGTTGGTCTATCTAATGGAAGAGGGGGTTTGGGAACACTACTTAGCGGTTGGTCTATCTAATGGAAGAGGGGGTTTGGGAACACTACTTAGCGGTTGGTCTATCTAATGGAAGAGGGGGTTTGGGAACACTACTTAGTGGTTGGTCTATCTAATGGAAGAGGGGGTTTGGGAACACTACTTAGTGGTTGGTCTATCCAATGGAAGAGGGGGTTTGGGAACACTACTTAGTGGTTGGTCTATCTAATGGAAGAGGGGGTTTGGGAACACTACTTAGTGGTTGGTCTATCCAATGGAAGAGGGGGTTTGGGAACACTACTTAGTGGTTGGTCTATCCAATGGAAGAGGGGGTTTGGGAACACTACTTAGTGGTTGGTCTATCCAATGGAAGAGGGGGTTTGGGAACACTACTTAGTGGTTGGTCTATCCAATGGAAGAGGGGGTTTGGGAACACTACTTAGTGGTTGGTCTATCTAATGGAAGAGGGGGTTTGGGAACACTACTTAGCGGTTGGTTGGTCTATCTAATGGAAGAGGGGGTTTGGGAACACTACTTAGTGGTTGGTTGGTCTATCTAATGGAAGAGGGGGTTTGGGAACACTACTTAGTGGTTGGTCTATCTAATGGAAGAGGGGGTTTGGGAACACTACTTAGTGGTTGGTCTATCCAATGGAAGAGGGGGTTTGGGAACACTACTTAGCGGTTGGTCTATCCAATGGAAGAGGGGGTTTGGGAACACTACTTAGTGGTTGGTTGGTCTATCTAATGGAAGAGGGGGTTTGGGAACACTACTTAGTGGTTGGTCTATCTAATGGAAGAGGGGGTTTGGGAACACTACTTAGTGGTTGGTCTATCCAATGGAAGAGGGGGTTTGGGAACACTACTTAGCGGTTGGTCTATCCAATGGAAGAGGGGGTTTGGGAACACTACTTAGTGGTTGGTCTATCCAATGGAAGAGGGGGTTTGGGAACACTACTTAGTGGTTGGTTGGTCTATCCAATGGAAGAGGGGGTTTGGGAACACTACTTAGTGGTTGGTCTATCTAATGGAAGAGGGGGTTTGGGAACACTACTTAGTGGTTGGTTGGTCTATCTAATGGAAGAGGGGGTTTGGGAACACTACTTAGTGGTTGGTCTATCTAATGGAAGAGGGGGTTTGGGAACACTACTTAGTGGTTGGTCTATCTAATGGAAGAGGGGGTTTGGGAACACTACTTAGTGGTTGGTCTATCCAATGGAAGAGGGGGTTTGGGAACACTACTTAGCGGTTGGTCTATCCAATGGAAGAGGGGGTTTGGGAACACTACTTAGTGGTTGGTCTATCTAATGGAAGAGGGGGTTTGGGAACACTACTTAGTGGTTGGTCTATCCAATGGAAGAGGGGGTTTGGGAACACTACTTAGCGGTTGGTCTATCCAATGGAAGAGGGGGTTTGGGAACACTACTTAGTGGTTGGTCTATCCAATGGAAGAGGGGGTTTGGGAACACTACTTAGTGGTTGGTTGGTCTATCCAATGGAAGAGGGGGTTTGGGAACAGTACTTAGTGGTTGGTCTATCTAATGGAAGAGGGGGTTTGGGAACAGTACTTAGTGGTTGGTCTATCTAATGGAAGATGGGGTTTGGGAACACCACCTTTGCTAGCATATAAATCTATGCAACAAGTATGGGTTGAATAGAGCCCTGAGGAAGGAAGTCAATCTACTCAGAAGTTGGTTTATTTCTAAAGTAAAGGGCTGTTTTAAAGGAACATGACAGAGGGTGATGACAACAACATTACAGTCCACAGCAAACAGGTGAGAAACAGGGAGGTTCTAGTCATAGAAATACAATCTGTAGAATGAATGGGGAGGCCCGTTCTATAGAATATATTTCTATGGTTGTAGTATATCCAGGCCTGGCAGAACGAGGCTGGCCCAGATCATCGCACAGTATTTACCTGAGTGCTAAAGGTATTACATTTTGTCTTGAGGAACACCGGTTGTTAGGGCGTGAAGAGTTTGGTTGGCTTGGCTGTGTGAGAGAAGCACATGGAGGTGGACAGACTGAGATCAGATCAACAGCCAGGGAGGTGACATGGTGAAGGAATGAGAGGTAACCCTGTATCAGGGCTCTTCAACCCTGTTACTAGAGCTGTCCTGTTACTAGACCCTACTAGAGCTGTCCTGTTACTAGACCCTGTTACTAGAGCTGTCCTGTTACTAGAGCTGTCCTGTTAGTAGAGCTGTCCTGTTACTAGAGCTGTCCTGTTACTAGACCCTGTTACTAGACCCTGTTACTAGAGCTGTCCTGTTACTAGAGCTGTCCTGTTACTAGAGCTGTCCTGTTAGTAGAGCTGTCCTGTTACTAGACCCTGTTACTAGACCCTGTTAGTAGAGCTGTCCTGTTACTAGAGCTGTCCTGTTACTAGACCCTGTTAGTAGAGCTGTCCTGTTACTAGAGCTGTCCTGTTAGTAGACCCTGTTACTAGAGCTGTCCTGTTACTAGAGCTGTCCTGTTACTAGACCCTGTTACTAGACCCTGTTACTAGAGCTGTCCTGTTACTAGAGCTGTCCTGTTACTAGAGCTGTCCTGTTACTAGAGCTGTCCTGTTAGTAGAGCTGTCCTGTTACTAGAGCTGTCCTGTTACTAGAGCTGTCCTGTTAGTAGAGCTGTCCTGTTACTAGAGCTGTCCTGTTACTAGAGCTGTCCTGTTACTAGAGCTGTCCTGTTAGTAGAGCTGTCCTGTTACTAGAGCTGTCCTGTTACTAGAGCTGTCCTGTTACTAGAGCTGTCCTGTTACTAGAGCTGTCCTGTTACTAGAGCTGTCCTGTTACTAGAGCTGTCCTGTTAGTAGAGCTGTCCTGTTACTAGACCCTGTTACTAGACCCTGTTACTAGAGCTGTCCTGTTACTAGAGCTGTCCTGTTACTAGAGCTGTCCTGTTACTAGAGCTGTCCTGTTACTAGACCCTGTTACTAGAGCTGTCCTGTACTAGAGCTGTCCTGTTACTAGAGCTGTCCTGTACTAGAGCTGTCCTGTTAGTAGAGCTGTCCCTGTTAGTAGAGCTGTCCTGTTAGTAGAGCTGTCCTGTTACTAGAGCTGTCCTGTTACTAGAGCTGTCCTGTTAGTAGAGCTGTCCTGTTAGTAGAGCTGTCCTGTAGTAGAGCTGTCCTGTTACTAGAGCTGTCCTGTTAGTAGAGCTGTCCTGTTAGTAGAGCTGTCCTGTTACGTTACTAGAGCTGTCCTGTTAGTAGAGCTGTCCTGTTACTAGAGCTGTCCTGTTAGTAGAGCTGTCCTGTTACTAGAGCTGTCCTGTTAGTAGAGCTGTCCTGTTACTAGAGCTGTCCTGTTAGTAGAGCTGTCCTGTTAGTAGAGCTGTCCTGTTAGTAGAGCTGTCCTGTTACTAGAGCTGTCCTGTTAGTAGAGCTGTCCTGTTACTAGAGCTGTCCTGTTAGTAGAGCTGTCCTGTTACTAGAGCTGTCCTGTTAGTAGAGCTGTCCTGTTACTAGAGCTGTCCTGTTAGTAGAGCTGTCCTGTTAGTAGAGCTGTCCTGTTACTAGAGCTGTCCTGTTACTAGAGCTGTCCTGTTACTAGAGCTGTCCTGTTACTAGACCCTGTTACTAGACCCTGTTACTAGAGCTGTCCTGTTACTAGAGCTGTCCTGTTACTAGAGCTGTCCTGTTACTAGAGCTGTCCTGTTACTAGAGCTGTCCTGTTACTAGACCCTGTTACTAGAGCTGTCCTGTTACTAGAGCTGTCCTGTTACTAGAGCTGTCCTGTTACTAGAGCTGTCCTGTTAGTAGAGCTGTCCTGTTAGTAGAGCTGTCCTGTTAGTAGAGCTGTCCTGTTACTAGAGCTGTCCTGTTACTAGAGCTGTCCTGTTAGTAGAGCTGTCCTGTTAGTAGAGCTGTCCTGTTAGTAGAGCTGTCCTGTTACTAGAGCTGTCCTGTTAGTAGAGCTGTCCTGTTACTAGAGCTGTCCTGTTAGTAGAGCTGTCCTGTTACTAGAGCTGTCCTGTTACTAGAGCTGTCCTGTTAGTAGAGCTGTCCTGTTACTAGAGCTGTCCTGTTACTAGACCTGTCCTGTTAGTAGAGCTGTCCTGTTACTAGAGCTGTCCTGTTACTAGAGCTGTCCTGTTAGTAGAGCTGTCCTGTTACTAGAGCTGTCCTGTTACTAGAGCTGTCCTGTTACTAGAGCTGTCCTGTTACTAGACCCTGTTACTAGACCCTGTTACTAGAGCTGTCCTGTTACTAGAGCTGTCCTGTTAGTAGAGCTGTCCTGTTACTAGAGCTGTCCTGTTAGTAGAGCTGTCCTGTTAGTAGAGCTGTCCTGTTACTAGACCCTGTTACTAGAGCTGTCCTGTTACTAGAGCTGTCCTGTTACTAGAGCTGTCCTGTTACTAGAGCTGTCCTGTTAGTAGAGCTGTCCTGTTAGAAGAGCTGTCCTGTTAGTAGAGCTGTCCTGTTACTAGAGCTGTCCTGTTACTAGACCCTGTTACTAGAGCTGTCCTGTTAGTAGAGCTGTCCTGTTACTAGAGCTGTCCTGTTAGTAGAGCTGTCCTGTTAGTAGAGCTGTCCTGTTACTAGAGCTGTCCTGTTACTAGACCCTGTTACTAGAGCTGTCCTGTTAGTAGAGCTGTCCTGTTACTAGACCCTGTTACTAGACCCTGTTACTAGAGCTGTCCTGTTACTAGAGCTGTCCTATTACTAGAGCTGTCCTGTTACTAGACCCTGTTAGTAGAGCTGTCCTGTTACTAGAGCTGTCCTGTTAGTAGAGCTGTCCTGTTACTAGAGCTGTCCTGTTAGTAGAGCTGTCCTGTTAGTAGAGCTGTCCTGTTAGTAGAGCTGTCCTGTTACTAGACCTGTCCTGTTACTAGAGCTGTCCTGTTACTAGAGCTGTCCTGTTACTAGAGCTGTCCTGTTACTAGACCCTGTTACTAGAGCTGTCCTGTTACTAGAGCTGTCCTGTTAATAGAGCTGTCCTGTTACTAGAGCTGTCCTGTTAGTAGAGCTGTCCTGTTACTAGAGCTGTCCTGTTACTAGACCCTGTTACTAGAGCTGTCCTGTTACTAGAGCTGTCCTGTTACTAGAGCTGTCCTGTTAGTAGCGCTGTCCTGTTACTAGAGCTGTCCTGTTACTAGACCCTGTTACTAGAGCTGTCCTGTTACTAGAGCTGTCCTGTTACTAGAGCTGTCCTGTTACTAGAGCTGTCCTGTTACTAGACCCTGTTACTAGACCCTGTTAGTAGAGCTGTCCTGTTAGTAGAGCTGTCCTGCTACTAGAGCTGTCCTGTTAGTAGAGCTGTCCTGATACTAGAGCTGTCCTGTTACTAGAGCTGTCCTGTTACTAGAGCTGTCCTGTTACTAGAGCTGTCCTGTTACTAGAGCTGTCCTGTTACTAGACCTGTCCTGTTACTAGAGCTCTCCTGTTAGTAGAGCTGTCCTGTTACTAGAGCTGTCCTGTTAGTAGAGCTGTCCTGTTAGTAGAGCTGTCCTGTTACTCAGACCTGTCCTGTTACTAGAGCTGTCCTGTTACTAAGCTGTCCTGTTACTAGAGCTGTCCTGTTACTAGAACCCTGTTACTAGAGCTGTCCTGTTACTAGACCCTGTTACTAAGCTGTCCTTTACTAGACCCTGTTACTAGAGCTGTCCTGTTACTAGATCTGTCCTGTTCTAACCTGTTACTAGAGCTTCCCTGTTCCTACTAGAGCTGTCCTGTTACTAGAGCTGTCCTGTTACTAGAGCTGTCCTGTTACTAGACCCTGTTACTAGAGCTGTCCTGTTACTAGAGCTATTCTGTTAATAGAGCTGTCCTGTTAGTAGAGCTGTCCTGTTAGTAGAGCTGTCCTGTTTACTAGAAGTGTCCTGTTACTAGACCCTGTTACTAGAGCGTCCCTGTTACTAAGCTGTCCTGTTACTAGAGCTGTCCTGTTAGTAGCGCTGTCCTGTTACTAGAGCTGGTCCTGTTACTAGACCGCTGTTACTAGAGCTGTCCTGTTACTAGAGCTGTCCTGTTACTAGAGCTGTCCTGTTACTAGAGCTTCCTGTACATAGACCCTGTTACTAGACCCTGTTACTAGAGCTGTCCTGTTAGTAGAGCTGTCCTGCTACTAGAGCTGTCCTGTTAGTAGAGCTGTCCTGTTACTAGAGCTGTCCTGTTACTAGAGCTGTCCTGTTACTAGAGCTGTCCTGTTACTAGAGCTGTCCTGTTACTAGAGCTGTCCTGTTACTAGAGCTGTCCTGTTACTAGACCTGTCCTGTTAGTAGAGCTGTCCTGTTACTAGAGCTGTCCTGTTAGTAGAGCTGTCCTGTTAGTAGAGCTGTCCTGTTAGTAGAGCTGTCCTGTTACTAGACCTGTCCTGTTACTAGAGCTGTCCTGTTACTAGAGCTGTCCTGTTACTAGAGCTGTCCTGTTACTAGACCCTGTTACTAGAGCTGTCCTGTTAGTAGAGCTGTCCTGTTACTAGAGCTGTCCTGTTACTAGAGCTGTCCTGTTACTAGAGCTGTCCTGTTACTAGAGCTGTCCTGTTACTAGACCCTGTTACTAGAGCTGTCCTGTTACTAGAGCTGTCCTGTTACTAGAGCTGTCCTGTTATTAGAGCTGTCCTGTTACTAGAGCTGTCCTGTTACTAGAGCTGTCCTGTTACTAGAGCTGTCCTGTTACTAGACCCTGTTACTAGACCCTGTTACTAGAGCCGTCCTGTTACTAGAGCTGTCCTGTTACTAGAGCTGTCCTGTTACTAGAGCTGTCCTGTTACTAGAGCTGTCCTGTTACTAGAGCTGTCCTGTTACTAGAGCTGTCCTGTTACTAGACCCTGTTACTAGACCCTGTTACTAGAGCTGTCCTGTTACTAGACCCTGTTACTAGAGCTGTCCTGTTACTAGAGCTGTCCTGTTACTAGAGCTGTCCTGTTAGTAGAGCTGTCCTGTTACTAGAGCTGTCCTGTTACTAGAGCTGTCCTGTTAGTAGAGCTGTCCTGTTACTAGAGCTGTCCTGTTACTAGAGCTGTCCTGTTAGTAGAGCTGTCCTGTTACTAGAGCTGTCCTGTTAGTAGAGCTGTCCTGTTACTAGAGCTGTCCTGTTACTAGACCTGTCCTGTTACTAGAGCTGTCCTGTTACTAGAGCTGTCCTGTTAGTAGAGCTGTCCTGTTACTAGAGCTGTCCTGTTACTAGAGCTGTCCTGTTACTAGAGCTGTCCTGTTACTAGAGCTGTCCTGTTACTAGAGCTGTCCTGTTAGTAGAGCTGTCCTGTTACTAGAGCTGTCCTGTTAGTAGAGCTGTCCTGTTACTAGAGCTGTCCTGTTACTAGACCTGTCCTGTTACTAGAGCTGTCCTGTTACTAGAGCTGTCCTGTTACTAGAGCTGTCCTGTTACTAGACCCTGTTACTAGAGCTGTCCTGTTACTAGAGCCTGTTACTAGACCCTGTTACTAGACCCTGTTACTAAAGGGAGAATGCTGAAGCAAACACACACACACACAGTAGATGTCACACTTGTCGCTGTGCTTCCTCAGCCTACCTGTAGGCAGTGCCATTGAGCTCTGGGTGGACACCTTGCTGGTCCATTACTGCCCACGGTCCTGTGGTCACAAAGAACTCCTTGTTCACACAGTTTCTTAGGCTGTCAGGGATGCGGCCTGCGATAGAGAGGGGGGGGAGATGTAAAGAGGGGAGACAGAGGGCTAGTTCTAATACAGAGCACAGACTAACTGAAGCCATAACTTGTGGAGTGATAAAGGAGGATGAAGATGTTAGCTATGTGCTAATGAGTGATAAAGGAGGATGAAGATGTTAGCTATGTGCTAATGAGTGATAAAGGAGGATGAAGATGTTAGCTATGTGCTAATGAGGGATAAAGGAGGATGAAGATGTTAGCTATGTGCTAATGAGTGATAAAGGAGGATGAAGATGTTAGCTATGTGCTAATGAGTGATAAAGGAGGATGAAGATGTTAGCTATGTGCTAATGAGTGATAAAGGAGGATGAAGATGTTAGCTATGTGCTAATGAGTGATAAAGGAGGATGAAGATGTTAGCTATGTGCTAATGAGTGATAAAGGAGGATGAAAATGTTAGCTATGTGCTAATGAGTGATAAAGGAGGATGAAGATGTTAGCTATGTGCTAATGAGTGATAAAGGAGGATGAAAATGTTAGCTATGTGCTAATGAGTGATAAAGGAGGATGAAGTTGTTAGCTATGTGCTAATGAGTGATACAGGAGGATGAAGATCTTAGCTATGTGCTAATGAGTGATAAAGGAGGATGAAGATGTTAGCTATGTGCTAATGAGTGATACAGGAGGATGAAGATGTTAGCTATGTGCTAATGAGTGATACAGGAGGATGAAGATGTTAGCTATGTGCCTCACAAACATATATGGCCTGGCTACACAATCACTAATTAACATCATTTAACAATGTGGATGTTATCTGGGAGGCATAGGATGCATCCCAAACGGCACCCTATTCCCTATATAGTGCACTACTTTTGCCATGAACTCTGGTTAAAAGTAGTGCACTATATAGGGAATAGGGTGCCATTTGGGACGCGCCCACGGCCAACTCCAGATTTAATAACGCCTGTGCAGGACCTATTGAAATGGAAATGGGACAATTGGGAGAGGGGAGAGGGGAGAGGGGAGAAGAGAGATGGGAGAGGGGAGATGGGAGAGGGGAGAGGGGGAGAGGGGGAAGGGATAGGGATGGGAGAGGGGAGAGGGGAGAGGGGAGAGGGGAGAGGGAGGGGGGGAGGAGAGGGGAAGGAGAGGCGAGAGGGGAGAGGGGGATGGGGAGGAGAGAGGGAGAGGGGAGAGGGGAGAGGGGAGAGGGGAGATGGGAGAGGGGGAGAGGGAGAGGGGAGAGGGGAGAGGGGGGGGGGAGGGGGGAGGGGGAGAGGGGAGAGGGGAGAGGGGAGATGGGAGGGGGAGGGGGGGGAGAGGGGAAGGGGGAGAGGGGAGAGGGGGGAGGAGGGGGAGAGGGAGAGGGGAGAGGGGGAGGGGGGGGGGGAGGGAGGGGAGGGGGATGGGGGGGAGAGGGGGAGGGGAGGGGGGGGAGAGGGGAGAGGGAGAGGGGAGAGGGGGAGAGGGAGAGGGGGGGGGAGAGGGAGGGAAGGGGGGAGGGGAGGGGGAGGGGGAGAGGGGAGAGGGGAGGGGGGGAGGGGGGGAAGGGGAGGGGGGAGAGGGGAGAGGGGGATGGGGGGGGGGAGGGGGGGGGGAAGGGGGAGGGGGGGGAAGGGGGGGGGGGGGGAGAGGGGGGGGGGAGAGGGGGAGGGGGGAGGGGGAGGGGAGGGAGGGGGGGAGGGGGATGGGAGAGGGGGAGAGGGGGAGAGGGAAGGGGAAGGGGGGAGGGGGGAAGGGGAGAGGGAGAGGGGGAGGGGGGAGAGAGGGGAGAGGGGGAGGGGAGGGGGAGGGGGGGAGGGGAGAGGGGAGAGGGGAAGGGGGGGGGAAAAGGGGAAAGAGGGGGGGAAGAGGGGTGGGGGGGGAGGGGGAGAGGGGAGGGGAGGGGGGAGAGGGGGGGAGAGGGGGAGAGGGGGAGGGAGAGGGGGGAGAGGGGAAGAGGGAGAGGGGAGAGGGAGAGGGGGGGAGAGGGGGGGGGAGAGGGAGAGGGAGAGGGGAATGGGAGGAGGGGAGAGGAGGGGGAGGGGGGGGAGGGGGAGAGGGGGGAGGGGGGGAGGGGGAGGGGGGGGGGGGATGGGAGAGGGGAGGGGGAAATGGGGGGAGGGGAGAGGGGAAGGGGAGGGGGAGATGGGAGAGGGGAGAGGGGGGGGGGGGGGAGGGGGGGAGGGGGGAGAGGGGAGGGGGAGAGCGTATAGATACAGGGTGAACTGTGTGGAGAGGGACCCTAGAAAAGGACCGTTAGGGACGCCTGAACTAAATGCACCTCCAGAGAGCGATGTTATTCTGGATAAAAGGAGGGGATTAAAACCCGTTGACTAAATGCCCCTCCAGACAGCGATGTTATTCTGGATAATAAGGACGGGATTAACCCGCTTGAACTAAAGCCCTCAAGGAGAGCGAGTTATTCTGGATAATAAGGACGGGATTCAACCCGCCTGAACTAAATGCACCTCCAGAGAGCGATGTTATTCTGGATAATAAGGACGGGATTCAACCCGCTTGAACTAAATGCACCTCCAGACAGCGATGTTATTCTGGATAATAAGGACGGGATTCAACCCGCTTGAACTAAATGCACCTCCAGAGAGCGATGTTATTCTGGATAATAAGGACGGGATTCAACCCGCTTGAACTAAATGCACTACAGGAGCGATGTTATCTGGATAATAAGGACGGGGATTCAACCGATTGAACTAAATGCACTCCAGAGAGCGATGTATCTGGATAATAAGGCGGATTTCAACCCGCTTGAACTAAAATGCACCTCCCGACAGCGATGTTATTCTGGATAATAAGGACGGGATTCAACCCGCTTGAACTAAATGCACCTCCAGACAGCGATGTTATTCTGGATAATAAGGACGGGATTCAACCCGCTTGAACTAAATGCACCGCCAGACAGGTGTTATTCTGGATAATAAGGACGGGATTCAACCCGCTTGAACTAAATGCACCTCCAGACAGCGATGTTATTCTGGATAATAAGGACGGGATTCAACCCGCCTGAACTAATGCACCTCCAGACAGCGATGTAATTCTGGATAATAAGGACGGGATTCAACCCGAGGTGACATCTGCAGCGTTTACTTTCAATGTGAACGTGAGAACGTTGTCTTTAAAAGGGCGCCTTGTCGACATTGCTGTACAACACGACATGAATTGAATCCCGGCCTTACGTTATAGTACTGCAAATGAAAATGAGCTATGTAGCAAAAAATGGGGTGCAATACTTGTTGTGCATGGTCCCTGACAAGTGAGGTGCTGGGGAAAGGCGAACAGGCCGTACCGCGTGATGGCTCTGCGGCTCTAGGTGGGCCAAGCTGACTCTCTCATTTCTAGAGAAGCCTGTTCACTGTACCAGGCTGTGTGTGGTGTACAGATCAGGTTGGGAGGCACCTCAGAGGGGGCTGTAGCAAAACTAGAGAGAGGAGAGAAGAGGGGAGGGAGGGTTGGGGGAGAGAGGGCAGAGAAGAGAGAGGAGAGGAGAGAGGGGGAGGTTGGGGGGGAGAGAGAGGAGAGAGGGAGGGATGGTGGGGAAGGAAGAGAGAGAGGGAGGGTGGGGGGGAGGAGAGAGGGTTGGGGGGGAGGGAGCGAGGGAGCGGGGGGGGGCGCGAGGAGGGTTGTTGGGGGGGGTAGAGAGAGGAGGGGGGAAGAGGAAGAGAGAGAGGGGAGGTTTGGGGGGGGAGGGAGGAGCGCGGAGCGAGGAGAGAGGCATGGTTAGGGGGGAGGAGAGGGGAGGAGAGAGAAGGGGAGGGGTTGGGGGAGAGGGGAAGGAGAGAGAGAGAGAGGGAGGATGGGGGGAGGGAAGGAAGAGAGAGAGAAGAGAGAAGAGAGAGGTTGGGGGGGAGGGGAGCGAGGGGAAGGGAAGGGCTGGGGGGGGAAGAGAGAGGGGAGGGTAGGGGGGGGAGAGAGGGGAGGAGAGAGAGGGAGGGTTGTTGGGGAAGGAGAGGAGAGAGAGGGAGGGTGGGGGGAGAGGGAGAGGGGAGGTTGGGGGTAGAGCGGTATGAGGAGAGAGGGGACGAAGAGAGAGAGGAGAGGTAGGGTAGAGAGGAGGGGGAGGGTTTGTGGCAGAGAGAGAGGGGAGGGTTGGGGGGGAGGAGGAGAGGGGAGGGTTGGGGGAGAGAGAGGGGAGGGTGGGGGAGGGGAGAGAGGGGGGGTTGGGGGAGAAGCGAGGGTCGAGGGTTGGGGGAGGAGAGGGGAGAGTGGGGAGGAGAGAGAGGAGAGGGAGGGTGGGGGGGAAGAGAGAGAGGGGAGGGGGGGGGGAGAGAGAGAGAGGGAGGGGTGGGGGTAGAGGGAGAGGGAGGTGTTGGGGGGTTAGGTTAGAGAGAGGGGAGGGGTTGGGGGGGGAGAAGAGAGGAGAGGGGGGGGGCGGGAAGAAGGAGAGAGGGGAGAGAGAGGCGGAGGAGAGGGAGGGTTGGGGAGGGTAGAGGGAGAGGGGGGAGGGTTGGGGAGGGCGGGTGCGGGCGGTAGGTTGGGGGGTAGTGGGGGCGGGGGGGGTAAGAGAGAAGGGGAGGAGTTGTGGGTAGAGAGACGAGAGAGAGGGGAGGGTTGGGGGGGGGAGAGGAGAGGAGGGGAGGGTTGGGGGGGAGAGAGGAGGGGAGGGTGGAGGGGGGAGAGAGGGAGAGGGTTGGGGGCGCGGGAGGAGAGAGAGGGGAGGGTGGGGAGAGAGGAGAGGGGAGGGTGGGGGGGAGGGAGAGAGGGAGAGGGGAGAGGAGAGGGAGAGAGAGGAGAGGAGAGAGAGAGGAGAGGAGAGGAGAGAGAGAGAGAATGAGAGGAGAGAGAGAGAGAGAGGAGAGAGAGAGAGGAGAGGGTGGGGAGGGGAGAGGGAGAAGAGAGGGGGGGAGGGAGAGAGGGAACAAGTGTAAGACCCCATCATTCCTTTCAGGGCCCCCAAGGAGGCCTCGGAAGGCCGCCGCAAGGCAGGCAGAGAAGGGGAAGAGCCGGCGGAAGCGAAGCGAAGAAGCCTCAAGCATATCCTTGTGGTGTCTGGGCTGTTGCGCAGCGCGCGAAGCAGCGCCGCGCGGAAAGCGCACGGGCCCAGCGCCGCGAGGAAGCGCCTCGCATGCAGATCCCGAGCAGCAGAGCAGGAACGTTCACTGGCCCCAGGCTCACCGTGCTCGCCGCAGCGCAGCGCAGCTCGCGCCGAGCCGCAGGCGCCGCGCGCAGGAGCCGCGCGGAAGCGCCGCAGCGCGAGCGGAAGCGCCGAGCCGAAGGCAGCAGAGCCGGGCCGCAGCGCAGCGCGCCGAGCCGCAGCGCAGCGCAGCAAGGAGCCGCGAAGAGCGCCGCGAGCAGGCCGCGAGAAGCGCCGCAGGACGCGGCCGCAGCGCAGCAAGAGTGGCACGAGCCACGCAGGCGCACAGCAGAGCAGGAGACGACGGCCGCGCGCAGCGACGCGCCGCAGGAAGAGAGACACGAAGAGAAGAGAGGAAGCGAAGAGACGCATGAGAACGAGCGGGCAGGAGGGAAGCGACGAGAAGAAGCGCCGATGACTCATCGCCTCTCTTAAATCATTCTCTTGATATAATAGTCCTCAGCTCCGATATCATCTTGACTATGAATGAACTCTAATCATGAGAATGCTCTGGAATCTCCTCATCTACTCTCTTAATAGCATATGAAGACATTAGCGTCATAATAAGGTTGCACCTGGCTGGTGTCTTGTACCCCCCCTCATCATATCAATCTCCTTCCCTTCATCTCCTCTTCTCCATCCCTGATAAAAGATGCGAGACTTCCTCTCCTCTTATTCTCTCATCATCCCTACTCACTCACTCATCGTGCCCTGTCCTACGTTTGTGGTGAGGTGTCACTGCTGGGAGTACTGTAGGTGGGATTACAAGTCATCAAAACATCCTCTGTTGACGTCTTGGTGATGTGTGAAGGCTATAAGTTAAACAGGAAAAACCTCATCCAGAGGAAGCGCTCCTAGTGGCGGGGACTTTAATGCAGGGAAACTTAAATCCGTTTACCTAATTTACCAGCATTTAAAGTGCAACAGAGGAAAGAAAAACTCTAGACCACCTTTACTCCACACACAGAGATGCGTACAAGCTCTCCCTGTTCCCGCCATTTGGCAAAATCTGACCATATACTCTATCCTCCTGATTCCTGTTTAAAGCAAAAACTAACTAAAGCAGGGGCAAAGTACAGTGACTCAGCAATAACAAAGTGGTCAGATGAGGCAGATGCTAAGCTACGGACTGTTGCTAGGCAACAGAGGGATATGTTTCGGGATTAATCGATGGCATTGAGGAGTACACCCAAATCAGTCACTGGCTTCATCAATAAGTGACATCGATGACGTCGTCCCCACAGGGACGTACGTAACACCACCAAACCAGAAGCCATGGATTACAGGGAAAACATCCGCACGAGCTAAAGGGTTTTAGAAGCTGCCGCTTTCACAACGAGAGGGACTCTAACCAGGATGCTTATAAGAAATCCGCTATGCCCTCCGACGACCATCAAAACAGGCAAAGAGTCAATACAGGACTAAGATTGAATCGTACTACACCGGCCTCCGACGCTCGTGGATGTGCAGGGCTGGAAACATTACAGACTAAAAAAGGAAAGCACAAGCCGCCGAGCGGTAGGGGAGAAGTGCTGCCAGGTGGAAAAACTATACCTGAGTGGTAGGGAGTGGTGTGCCAGGTGAAACTATAACTGAGGGCTGGTAGGGGGTGTTGATGCCAGGTGACAACTGATACTGGCTGGTAGGGGTGTTGAGCCATGTAAATATACTGAGCTGGTAGGGGGAGTTGCTGACAGGTGAACTATACTGAGCGGGTAGGTGGTGTTCGGGGGTGTTGCTGCCAGGTGAAAACCATATACTCATCCACTGGGTGTCCCACCTGAACGGTGATGTTAGTGGACGTCCCACTTATGTGTGTGTGTTCTCCCTGAACGGTTTCTGTCTCGTGCACTCCAGGCAGCGCCACGTATCCTCCCTCCTCAGGCGCCTGAGCCAGGGCATTCTCATCCACCAGCCTCCCAGTGCTGCATTCACCAGGGGGAACGCACCCTGGACGGTATATAAGGGAGGGGGTGGGGGGAGAGATTCAAAAGAGAGAGAAGATGAAAGGGGGGGGGGGTCAGTTGGGAGTGATTGATCTAAAGCGGGCACCACCAATATGTAGTTATTACAAAAAATCTGTTTGCATCCTTCTTTTAAGTATCTCAATACCAGATGACATACTGACTTCATTCAATAAGTGCATCGATGACGTCGCCCAAAGTGGGACCGTACGTACATACCCCAACAGAAGCCATCGGATTACAGCACGATCAGCTCACTGAGCTAAAGGGTAGAGCGGCCGCTTTCAAGGAGGGGCCTCTAACACGGGACGCCATAAGGAAATTCCCGCTATGCCCTCCGAGAACCATCAAACAGGCAAAGAGTCAATTACAGGGGCTAAGATTGAATCGTACTACATGGCTCTTTGACGCTCGTCGGATTTGTGGCAGGGCTTGAAACTATTACAGACTCAAAGGGAAGAACCAGCATATTCCCCCCCCCCCTTCTTTTTTCCCCCCCTACCCTTTCCCCCACTTTTCCCTTCCCCTCCCCCCCTTTCCCCTAACTCCCCCCCCTCTCAACCCCTTCCTACCCTTTTTCATCATTTTTTTTCCTTCCCCCGGGGCCCTTCCCCCCTTTTTTTTTTTTTTTTTTTTTTTTTTTTCCCCCCCCCCCCCCCCCCCCCCCCCCCCCCTTTTTTTTTTTTTTTTTTTTTTTTTTAAAAATTTTGGGGGGGCCCCCCTTTTTCCCCCCCCCCCTTTTCCCCCCCCCATTTCCCCCCCCCCCTTTTTAACCCCCCCCCCAAAAATCCCTTTTCTCCCCTACCCCCTTATTTTTAAACCCCCAACCCCCCCCCCCTTTTATTCCCACCCCCCCCCCCCCCCCCCCCCCCCCTTTTTCCCCCCCCCCCTCCCCCCCCCCGAAAGAGCGGGCCCCCCCCCCTCGCCTCCCCCCCCCCCCCCGGCCCCCCCGGGGGAGGCCGGAGAACGAGGGGACGCAAAAACCCCCGGACCGGAGGGGAAAGGCAAAAAAACCCGCAAAGAGGCGGCCCAGGGGCCGGGGAAAAAGAAAAAAAAAAAAAAAAAAAAAAAAAAAAATTTCAAAACTAAAAAATTTTACCCCCCCCTTTTAAATTTAACCCGGGGGAAAAAAACCCCCCTTCTCCTCCCCGGCCAAAAAAACTCCCCTCTCCTCCGGCCCAATTGTAATTTCCCCTATTCCTGTTTTGAAAAAAACAAAAACACCGTGACTCGTAATGAAGGGTAAGACCCGAAAACTACGGGGACGTTTTGTCCCGGGATAATTTGGGATTAAATCCGTCTTTAATACCACATTAGGGCCCCCAAAAAATCAAACACTCCCCCACAGGACCTTTTTCCCCCCAAAGAAAATCAAAATTTTATTTTTAAAAAAAAAAAAAACACCGGCCCGCCCTTGGTTTTTAAGGGTTTAAAATTTTTTAAAAACCCAAAAAAAGCCCCCCCCCCCCCCCCCCCTTTTTTTTTTTTTTTAATCTCCTTCCTCTCCTCCTCCTCATCTCGCATCTCTTCTTATCCTCTCCTCATCTCTCTCCTACTGCTCATACTTCTACTCATTCTCTCTCTCCTCTCCATCCCTGATAACAGATGCTGAGACTTCCTCTCCTTCTTCTTCTCTCAATCCTCCCTACTCACTCACTCTCCGTGCCCTGGTCCTACGTTGTGTGTGAAGGTGTCACTGATGTGAGTTACTGTAGTGTGGGATTACAAGTCATCAAACACTCCTCTGTTGACGTCTTGTTGATGTGTGAAGGCTATAAGTAAACAGGAAAACGCTCATCCAGAGGCAGCGCTCCTAGTGGCCGGGGACTTTAATGCAGGGAAACTTAAATCCGTTCTACCTAATTTCTACCAGCATGTTAAATGTGCAACCAGAGGAAAAAAAACTCTAGACCACCTTTACTCCATACACAGAGACGCGTACAAAGCTCTCCCTCGTCCTCCATTTGGCAAATCTGACCATAACTCTATCCTCCTGATTCCTGTTTATAAGCAAAAACTAAAGCAGGAAGTACCAGTGACTCAGTCAATAAAAAAGTGGTCAGATGAGGCAGATGCTAAGCTACAGGACTGTTTTGCTAGCACAGACTGGAATATGTTTCGGGATTCATCCGATGGCATTGAGGAGTACACCACATCAGTCACTGGCTTCATCAATAAGTGCATCGATGACGTCGTCCCCACAGTGACCGTACGTACATATCCCAACCAGAAGCCATGGATTACAGGCAACATCCGCACTGAGCTAAAGGGTAGAGCTGCCGCTTTCAAAGAGCGGGACTCTAACCCGGATGCTTATAAGAAATCCCGCTATGCCCTCCGACGAACCATCAAACAGGCAAAGAGTCAATACAGGACTAAGATTGAATCGTACTACACCGGCTCCGACGCTCGTCGGATGTGGCAGGGCTTGAAAACTATTACAGACTACAAAAGGAAGCACAGCCGCGAGCTGGTAGGGGGAGTTGCTGCCAGGTGAAACTATACTGAGCTGGTAGGGAGTGTTGCTGCCAGGTGAAACTATACTGAGCTGGTAGGGGGTGTTGCTGCCAGGTGAAACTATACTGAGCTGGTAGGGGGTGTTGCTGCCATGTGAAACTATACTGAGCTGGTAGGGGGAGTTGCTGCCAGGTGAAACTATACTGAGCCGGTAGGGGGTGTTGCTGCCAGGTGAAACCATATCCTCATCCACTGTGTGTCTCACCTGAACGGTTCTGTCTAGTGGACGTCCACTTATGTGTGTGTGTGTCTCACCTGAACGGTTCTGTCTCGTGCACGTCCAGGGCAGCGCCACGTATCCTCCCCTCCTTCAGCGCCTGAGCCAGGGCCTTCTCATCCACCAGCCCTCCCCGTGCTGCATTCACCAGGAACGCACCCTGACGCATCTATAAGGGAGGGGGTGGGGGGGAGAGATCAAAAGAGAGAGGAAGATGAAAGGGGGGGGGGGTCAGGTTGGGAGTTGATTTGATCTAAAGCGGGGCACCACCAATATGTAGTTATTACAAAAAATCTGTTTGCATCCTTCTTTTAAGTATCTCAATACAGATGACATACTGACTTCATCAATAAGTGCATCGATGACGTCGTCCCCACAGTGACCGTACGTACATACCCCAACCAGAAGCCATGGATTACAGGCACGATCAGCACTGAGCTAAAGGGTAGAGCTGCCGCTTTCAAGGAGCGGGACTCTAACCCGGACGCCTATAAGAAATCCCGCTATGCCCTCCGACGAACCATCAAACAGGCAAAGAGTCAATACAGGACTAAGATTGAATCGTACTACACCGGCTCTGACGCTCGTTGGATGTGGCAGGGCTTGAAAACTATTACAGACTACAAAGGGAAGCACAGCCACGAGCTGCCCAGTGACACATGACCTCCAGACGAGCTAAATTACTTCTATGCTCGCTTCGAGACAAGCAACACTGAAGCACGCATGAGAGCATCAGCTGTTCCGGACGACTGTGATCATGCTCTCCGTAGCCGATGTGAGTAAGACCTTTAAACAGGTCAATATTCACAAGGCCGCAGGGCCAGACGGATTACCAGGACGTGTACTCCGAGCATGCGCTGGACCAACTGGCAAGTGTCTTCACTGACATTTTCAACCTCTCCCTGACTGAGTCTGTAATACCAACATGTTTCAAGCAGACCACCATAGTCCCTGTGCCCAAGAACACCAAGGTAACGATTTGGCATGGGTCCTCAGATCCTCAAAAAGTTATACAGCTGCACCATCGAGAGCATCCTGACTGGTTGCATCACCGCCTGGTATGGCAACTGCTCGGCCTCCGACTGCAAGGCATTACAGAGGGTAGTGCGTACGGCCCAGTACATCACTGGGACCAAGCATCCTGCCATCCAGGACCTCTATACCAGGGCGGTGTCAGAGGAAGGCCCTAAAAATGGTCAAAGACTCCAGCCACCCTAGTCATAGACTGTTCTCTCTGCTACCGCACGGCAAGCGGTACCGGAGCGCCAAGCCTAGGTCCAAAAGGCTTCTTAACAACTTCTACCCCAAAGCCATAAGACTCCTGAACAGCTAATCAAATGGCCACCCGGACTATTTGCATTGTTCTTTGATGCTCCACTGAATGCTCTACTTAAGACGTGACGAGCTGAGCACCTGGGCAACACACGCACACGCATACACAAACATGTAGAGACACATCTACACCTGAGGAGAATCAGCTCTGAAGGAGAACTGTCAAAGTCCTTAACAATTGTCTGCATGGGTGCGTCCCAAAGTGCACCCTATTCCCTATATAGTGCACTACTTTAGATCTAGCTTGGCTCAGCTCACATAGTTGGCTGTGGATATGTGCGAGTCCCAAATTCCCTTTATAGTGCACTGATTTGAGCAAACAAATGACAGTTGATAAACTGTACTAGATAGCTGTGTAAAACACCTGCTAGCAAGAAAAACAACAGCTCCAGGAAAATCCAATTAATATGCTTGGAAGAAACTGTAATCCCTTAATCTAGACAAAATATGGAATCCAGGACATGAAAAGCCCTCATTTTATTAGGGCTGTGCTTTATACACACACACACACACACACACACACACACACACACACACACACACACTAAAAATAAAGCTTTACTTAGAAGCTCAGGGCTGCAGTCTGTCTGTGTTTGAAGGGGTGAAGAGAAAAGAAGAGAAAATGAGACTTTCGTTTTGGGAAGATTATCTGATACAGAGGAGATGAGAGGAGTTAACAACTAGATGGAGAGATACAGCCTGCTCTATTCTGTTCTCCTTCAGACAACACTTCAACAGAGGAGAGGAGTGAACAACTAGGTGGAGAGATACAGCCTGCTCTATTCTGTTCTCCTTCAGACAACCCTTCGACAGAGGAGAGGAGTTAACAACTAGGTGGAGAGATACAGCCTGCTCTATTCTGTTCTCCTTCAGACAACACTTGGATGCTCTCTCTGTCTCTCAAGATGTGAAGTCAACCAGAGAGAGGGAATAAAAACAGACATGAAACGATAATGGAGGGATGTGTAATGCTCCTGTTGACCAACAGGTGGCAGACCAGACGGGGTATTGTGGTGCTGACGGCAGCTCTGAGCAGTGAAGTCAACCTGAGAGAGTCAGAGAGGAACAGGAAACGGCGATAAGAGGTGTAATTCTCCTCTCCTCCACCAGGTGTCAGACTAGACAGGGTCTGGTGTTGTGATATTGACACAGCAGTCCCATTTCCCCTCTCTGTGCTCTCACCCCCCCCCACCCCCCCCATCCCCTCTCCCTCCCCCCACCCTCCCCTCTCTCTCTCCCCCAACCCTCCCCTCTCTCTCTACCCCCAACCCTCCCCTCTCTCTCTCCCCCCAACCCTCCCCCGGGGAGCCCAGTCCATGTATTAGCTGTAGCCGTGGGCTGGCGCTAATTCCATTTGACAGAGCGGAGGAATGGATTTGTTTTAAGCTGAAAAAGGCTGGGGATGCTGCATCTAGTGGGTCTGTGGTTCGTGGAGGCGGAGACAGACGGTGATCTCTTACGGGCTGCGTCCCAAATGGCACCCTATTGCCTTTAAAGTGCACTACGTTTGACCAGGCCCCACAGGGGAATAGGGTGGTATTGGGGACGGGCCCACAGGGGAATAGGGTGGTATTGGGGACGGGCCCACAGGGGAATAGGGTGGTATTGGGGACGGGACCACAGTGGAATAGGGTGGTATTGGGGACGGGACCACAGTGGGAATAGGGTGGTATTGGGGACGGGACCACAGTGGAATAGGGTGGTATTGGGGACGGGACCACAGGGGAATAGGGTGGAATTGGGGACGGGACCACAGGGGAATAGGGTGGTATGGGGACGGGACCCACAGGGGAATAGGGTTGGTTATTGGGGACGGGACCACAGTGATAGGTGTATGGACTGGAGCCTACAGGGGTAGGGCTGTCGGTGGATGACGGGGGTTGATAGTCATAATATTTGATCTATATAAGGATTGGGTGTTCAGGACGGCGTTTAATCTCTAATAACTGGTGATTGATACTCACTGGAGTAGCGATTCTATAAAGGATTGGATAACTTACGGGAGGTAGGATTCTTGTAAGTAACTGTCTGTCGTGTTGCTACTTGGACATGTTTGAGGTGAAGTCGTTGTGAGTGGGGGTGGGGTTCATTCAGTTGGAGGCAGAGAGACGCGTCTACTGGTAGGCCAGCTCCTGTGAGTGTAGAATCGCTGGAGCATGGGAAGCTCTAAGCCGTTGCAGGTAGGAGGTCAAGAGATAACGTTGAAACAACCATTGCCCGGGACGCCCAGGATCGTAAGCCATACACGCAAGGACAGGGGAAGAGATAGTTATCACAAGCACACAACACGACGGGAGAGAGCAAGTCTTACCATCAACACACACAGAGAGACAGGGGAGAGAGCATAGTTCATTCACAATATCAACACACACACACACAGAGAGACAGGGGAGAGAGCATAGTTCATTCACAACATCAACACACACACAGAGAGACAGGGGAGAGAGCATAGTTCATTCACAACATCAACTGTGTACATGGTACACCACCTTACAAATAGCCATAGTGTGTGTCCTGTCTTGTCCTGGGCCTGTCCTGTCCTGTCCTGTCTCAGTGTGGGAGGGGCAGCCAGATGGAGGAGCTCTATTTTCTCTACTGAGAGGGGGACCTTATGGGAGAGCGAAAGGGAGGGGAGAAAAGGAAGAGGGGAGAGAAGAAAAGGGGGGGAGAGATAGAGGAAGGGGAGAGAGAGGGGAGAAAGAGAGAGGGGAGGAAGAAGAGGGAGAGAAGGGGGGGGAAAGAGGAGGGGAGTAGAGAAGGAGAGGGGAGAAAAAGAGGGGAGAAGGAGAGAGAGAGGGGAGGCGAAGAGAGGGGAGAGGAAGAGAAGGTGGAGGAAGATAGGGGGGTGAAGGAAGAAAAGAGGGGAGAGAAAGAGGGGGGAGAAAGAAGAGAGGGGAGAGAAAGAAGAGGGGAAAGAAAGGGGTAGAGAGAAGAGAGAAGGGAGGAGGCTTCATATAAAGGGGGGTAGAGTAGAAAAGGGGAAAAAATACGAAAAAGAAACATAAAGTTTAAAAGAAAAAGGGAGTAAGAAAAGGGGAGAGAAGAAAGGGGGAGAGAAAGAAGAGGGGAGGAAGAGAGGAGGGGTTTAGGGAAGCGGGGAAGAAACGGAGTAGAAGAAGGGGAGAGAGAAGTAAGGGGGATAAAATAGAGAGGAGGGGAGGAGAAGAGCGGAAGGGAGAGGGGGAGGGGGGGAAGGAGGGGGACGAGAAGAGAGAGGGAGGAAGAGCGGGAGGAAGAGAGCGGGGGGGACGGGAAAATTTAAAGAGAAGAAAGCGACCGAGAGGGGCCAAAGTTTGTTCCCTCTTCCTCTCCCCTTTTCCCCTCTCTCTGCCTCTTGTTCTCTGCTCTCTCTCTGTTCTCTCTCTGTTCTCTCTCTGTTCTCTCCTCTCTCTCTGTTCTCTCCTCTCTCTCTGCTCTCTCTCTCTTCTCTCTCCTCTCTCTGCTCTCTCTGCTCTCTCTCTGTGTCCCCCCCCCCCCCCCCCCCCCTCCTCCCCCTGCTCCAACCCCCCTACACCACCCGCCCAGTGTCCCATTGTCCCCAGAGAGCAGGGCCTGGCATGGAACCCTTAGCCTCAGCATCGCCTACTCAGCCCTCCCCAACAGAATGCACCTTGTCAGGGGGGCCGGTGGCTGGAGAGACCTTGAGAGAGCAGGAACACTGAGCCGTGCTGACACGGGAGAGAGAATGTCCTGTCTGAAAGGAACACTGAGCCGTGCTGACATGGGAGAGATAATGTCCTGTCTGAGAGGAACACTGAGCCGTGCTGACATGGGAGAGATAATGTCCTGTCTAAGAGGAACACTGAGCCGTCCTGACATGGGAGAGATAATGTCCTGTCTGAGAGGAACACTGAGCCGTACTGACATGGGAGAGATAATGTCCTGTCTAAGAGGAACACTGAGCCGTACTGACATGGGAGAGATAATGTCCTGTCTGAGAGGAACACTGAGCCGTGCTGACATGGGAGAGATAATGTCCTGTCTGAGAGGAACACTGAGCCGTGCTGACATGGGAGAGATAATGTCCTGTCTAAGAGGAACACTGAGCCGTGCTGACATGGGAGAGATAATGTCCTGTCTGAGAGGAACACTGAGCCGTGCTGACACGGGAGAGATAATGTCCTGTCTAAGAGGAACACTGAGCCGTGCTGACATGGGAGAGATAATGTCCTGTCTGAGAGGAACAGACAAAGCTGCAGCTCTCACTGGCTCCAGAGCATACAAAGAGAGAATGAAAGCCCTGGCCACACGGCCTCTCTGTGTCCGTGTCCCTGGCCACACGGCCTCTCTCTGTGTCTCCGTGTCCCTGGCCACACGGCCTGTGTGTGTCTCTGTGTCCCTGGCCACACGGCCTCTCTGTGTGTCTCCGTGTCCCTGGCCACACGGCCTCTCTGTGTCTCTGTCTCCGTGTCCCTGGCCACACGGCCTGTCTGTGTCCGTGTCCCTGGCCACACGGCCTGTGTGTGTCTCTGTGTCCGTGTCCCTGGCCACACGGCCTGTGTGTGTCTGTGTCCCTGGCCATAGCGCCTGCGACATCCCACAGGCTGACAGACACTAACACAATGGAAACAGCCAAGGAGGAGGAGAGAAGGTTGGCCAGAACAGAACAGCCCTGATGAAATGTACTGACTCACCATGTGTTTGTCATCACTCCTACTGGACTGGACGGTACTGGACTCTACTCTACTCTACTCTACAGTACTCTACTCTACTCTACAGCCCCCACAACAAATGGAGAGAGCGAGAGAAAGAGAGATAGAGGGAGAGACAGTGTCCACCATGATAGAGGGAGATACCACCATGAAGACCAACTCTGTCTCTCAGCCAAACAGAGGAAGAGGCATGAGAGAGAAAGCAATATTGAGATGGAGAGAGAGTGAGAAAGGGGATGGGAAAAACGAGGAGTAACAGAGGTGATTCCTTCCTCACCAAAGCCTATGAGGCCAAGTGTTTCCCCACGGATGCGTGCAGCTCCGGACGCCACCTCTCTAATCTGCTCCACACTCTGGACCCGCGTGCCCTCCCGGAGAGCCTGGTACAACCAGGTGTTTCGTCGGTACAGGTTGAGGACGTGACACATGGTGGAGTCTGCTGTCTCCTCCACGCAGGCCGACGGGATGTTACCAATTTTCCCAGACAAGCCCCCAAGAAAAGAAAAACCACCAAAAGACCGCGGGAAAAGGGCCAGAAAAACCCCATCAAAGGGCCCAAAGACAAGCCCCCAAGACAAGAGAAGGACCGGGACAAGACCCCGGAGAAACCCCAGGGGGGAAGGGACCCCGAAAAGGGAAGAGAGAAGACAAAAACCCCGGGAAAAAGACCAGGGAAGAGACCAGAAAAGACCCCAAGAATCCCAAACCCAAGCCCAAGGGGAAGAAAACCAGACAAAACCCAGACAAGACCAAGGAAAACCCCAGCGAAGACCAGGAAAGACCGGAAGACCCCAGAGAAGCCAGACAAGCCCCCAAAAAGGCCCAAACAAGACCCCAGACAAGACAGCAGAAAAACCCCCAAGAAAAAGAAAGACCAGAGAAGAACGAGGAAGACCAAAAAAACCCCAGAGAAGAGACCAGAAAAGACCCCAAAAAAGACACCCAGACAAGAACAGAGAAGAGAAGACCCCGGGAAAAGACCCCAGAGAAAAAGAAAAGGGGACAAAAACCAAAAAACCCGGGAAAACCCCCAAAAATACCCCTTTATAAAAACCTTTAAAACCCCCCATACAAAATTAATACCATACAATAACCTTTTAAAAATAAATCAAAAATGAAAAATATAAAACAATCCCCAACACAATACCCCATAAAATTCCCCCCTTTAAAAAAATACCATAAAAAACCCCCCTTTAAAATACCCCAACCCAATACCCCATATAATACACCATACAATACAATACACCATGCAATACAATCAATCAATCACATTTATTTACAGTACCAGTCAAAAGTTTGGAATCACCTACTCATTCAAGGGTTTTTCTTTATTTTTACTATTTTCTATGAAATAACACATATGGAATCATGTAGTAACCAAAAAAGTGTTAAACAGATCAAAATATATTTTAGATTCTTCAAAGTAGCCACCCTTTGCCTTGATGACAGCTTTGCACACTCTTGGCATTCTCTCAACCAGCGTCACCTGGAATGCTTTTCCAACAGTCTTGAAGGAGTTCCCACATTTGCTGAGCACTTGTTAGCTGAT